GCTGAAACAAACTCTGCAAAAACAAGAAAAAGGGTTGAATCTTTCACTCCTAAGTCAATAAAAGCTTACCTTGTTTCTTTGATTATTCCATTTCTAATTAGATTAATAAATTCGGGCTTTACAGAACACCAAATGTCAGGATTGAGCTGCGGAGGGGGTATTGGGGATTACTATTTTCCTCCAAGTAATGTCTTTTCAAAAAACTGGACATTGTTTTGTTCTTGTGCCTTGCTAGCTTCTCCCTTGGAATGTTCTTCACTAACAGGTAAGTTAGTCAAAGTGTTGTGAAAAAGGGACTATATACGAACCCCAATCAGGGTATTTTGATCGTCTTTTCAATTATTCTTAAAGAAGCTTCTTCTTTCATATGGTTTCTCTTTTGCTATAGTTTTCGTATTTGTGTTCTTTAATTCTGCTTCTCTGGTTGTTTGTCTTTCGGTTCGAGTACTGATCCAACAGCTCAAAAGAACAACTTATTAACTGAAGCTTTGTATATAGTTGTTCGGTAATGTAGATTTAAGCATATGCATATACTTTAGGCTCAGTATTTGGTCATTCTCCTTGTTGATTCATGCTGCATTCGTGTCTCATAGATCAGAAGGTTTGTCAAGATTGTTTTTTTTTGTTTCTGTAAGTTTTAGATTCGTCAATGAATCTTTTGACACCAAAAATGGGAAACAAAAGGACTTTTATGGAATTTCACCCGGATCCCATCTGCCTTGAAACATAACAAATACTAGTAATTTTCAGTGTCATTGAACAGTTTAACGTTAGTAGCCTAGAAACGTGGAGACATGTAATGCTTTAGTCAGGTAATCTTACAATGCCGATCAATTCTAGGTGCAAGTTTGGTTGATTTGATCAAGCAAACAGTGGTTTATAGAGGTCTCAATTCCAAATTCCATAACATGTAGAATCCTGATTACATCATTGAGTAAGAATTGCAGTTGCAGCCAAGAAGAAGTGTTTTAGCTCTTACATGGTTCTTTAATCTAGCTTTTCAAAATTGACGCTCTAACGGACGTTATATGTTGTTTTCGCATAATTCATATGACAGGTGAGGCAGTGAAGGGTGCTTGAACAACATACATATTCTTGAAGGACAACCTCTTTTTTGTATGGCAGCCATGTAAGTGAGCTCACTTACAGATACAGAGACCAGCTTTCCTGGAAAAGGGTCATGTCAAGATCAATATTTTTACTGGTTTTTTCCCTCGTTCCTCTTCTAGAGTAAATCTCTGTTGTCATGTTCAGATACTCGTATAACATGTATACAACATGTTTCATTGATCTTTGGATTCTATTCTGAAGAGATTGTAGTCCATATGGGTCTCTACTTTTTGATTGAGATTCATAAATTCAATTAAGAAGTTTTAGTTAGAATAAAAATGGACCCAATACAAGGAATTTCCCTGTTCCTGTGTCTCTTGATTGAACAATCTCCTACAAGAACCTTTATTGGAGTGGATGAATTGTAAACGAGTTTTTTTCAAGTAACAAATGTCCTGTTCTGATTCTTACTGCTACAGATTGAGAATAGTAAGGTCGAAAACCAAATTTGGTTAATTGGCATTGAGAGTAAGGATTTTGGAACTTAAGAGGTCTAATGCGGTCTGGTCCAATGCATAAATGCAGAACTTTGAGTTTGTTTGATTGAGACAGGTCCTCTTTGTTGCGTTTTTTGAATTCGGCTTGTAAGAATGTGATTCTCAGTTGCATTTCTTAATCATTGAATAGTATTGACCTTGGTGGGTTTGGTTTCAGCTTGCTACAACGGTAATTCAATACAAAATATATGACTTTATGAACCATATCACTGCAAATGCAGGTTAAGAGAGACTCCGCAACTGATAAATCGCACATTAATTTTTTCATTTGATGTGATCAATCCTTCTTAAGCAGGTGAAAAACATCAGCTTCAGGAAAACATAAGGCCGAGAAGAGAAGCCAGCTAAAGATCATTAAGAAGGATAGCAAACAACACTTCTACTATACCTAATGAGGTTTACCGTGTCTGCAAAAGTGTCTGCAAAAATTGTACTGAAAACTGGATGTCAAGCAGCAAGATTTTGTTGTATCTAATGATAGGGAGATGGCAGATAAATCCAAGGCAAGAATGAAGGAAAGAGAGGATCCGATTATCCACGAGGAAAGAGAAACCATTTCGGGTAGGAGTAAAATATATGATGCAGATAGGTTTGCTATTGAGAGTGTGAAAGCGATCGATTGGAACCTTTTTTCGCAGAAAGATGTGAGTCCATACCAAGCTTTCAGATCTTTGATCAGGAAGCCCTATGGCAGTTTTCTACAGCACTTCCAACACAGTTTTGGACGGAAAGCCTGGAATATTGTTCAGATGCTCTTTCAATCGTTTGAGTCACTGCATGGATCAGGAGAAGATGGAAGCAACAGAAAGCAGCTCGCAAGTGAAGACCTCAGGTGAGTTTCCAGTCGGCAATTAACTTAATTAAAAGGATACATTCTAGACACTGGTCACGTAAAGAATCAGAAGATATGAATATGTTTTCACTTTTTCCAGTCAAGATTTGGGTTTCTTTTGTTAAGCGGCTCTTGCATTTCTCCTCTTATCAGTCACACGTTCTGTATGTTTGTTCACTTGGTGTTCTAACTAGCAAACTGTGACTGGTTTATTGGCTAATCAAGGATCACTACACGCCGTAGTAAAGTTCACAATTCATAGTATGCAATTATAGAGGATCATTCTTTTGGTAAAGTGACGACATTTGCAGGTCTTCAGCTTGCTCCTTAAAGAATTCCGTCAATAAAGGCTGAAATCGGACATGACTTTAATTTGTATGTATTGAATTCACTGTTGCCAAAAAGGGAATTCAATACAAAACATATGACTTTATCAACCATATCACTGCAAATGCAGGTTAAGACTCCTCAAGTCTGTAATTTGCTCCACACAAATCTCTACTTTTCATGTACACAAGTCGTGTCGTGTATCTAAAACTTTGATTTTGTTAGATTCTGAAGCTTGTAGTAGTAAGTAATAAGCAGAATATACCGGAAAGTAGGAGCTGCAGAGTTTTCCACACACAAAAACCGGTTAAAAGACATAACCACCGAAATGGATAATGCAATTGAACCGAATCTCATTCACATTGCTTTATCCACTGTAACCATCCGAAATGGATTGCTTTCATAAACCCTATTTTTCCTTCTTACTTTTTTGTTTGCGAGTTAGGGTTTCGCTAGTGCATAAGTTTCTTCCCTAGTCGCTGTATGTTTAGTAGAAATTTTGAGATTTACTCGATTTCGATAATTGAACTAGATAGATCGGTCAAATCGCTTCAACACACTGTGGTTTTGTCATGTATTCTCTGATACTCCATGGAAGAAGGTTTAGTGAGTTGCAGAAATGGCGTAATCTGAGATTTGCAGTGAACCCTTTACAAAATGCGTCTTATTTTTCCAATTCCTTCTCCTCTGCAAGTGGTTCTTATGTAAGCCCTAAAGATGGTCAAAAAGGGAAGAACTTTACAGTCTCTGACCTCGTTGATTCACTGGGTTTAACCACAAAACTCGCAGAATCGATCTCAAGGAAAGTCAAATTCGAGGGCAAGGGCAATCCAGATTCCGTTCTGAGTCTTCTTAGGAGTCATGGATTCACAGATTCTCAAATCTCCAGCATCATTACGACTTACCCAGGATTGCTTATAGTAGATGCTGAGAGATCACTTGGTCCCAAGCTTCAGTTTCTGCAGTCTAGAGAAGGAGCCTCAAGCTCTGATCTCACTGAGATTCTTTCGAAAGTTCCGAAAATCTTGGGAATGAGGTGGGAAAAAGCTATAAGCGTATACTATGATTTCGTCAAAGAGATTATAAAAGCGGATAAGAGTTCCAATTTCCAAAAGTTATGTCATTCTTTGCCCGAAGAGGGTAGTAAGCAGGAGAACAAAATGAGAAATGTATTGGTATTGAGAGAATTAGGTGTCCCTCAAAAGAGGTTGTTACACTTGCTCATCTCCAATTACCAACCTGTCTGTGGAAAAGAAAAATTTGAAGCATCCCTCAAGAAGGTTGTTGAGATGGGTTTTGATCCAACCACCTCAAAGTTTGTCCTAGCTCTGCGTGCTGTTTACTCATTGAAGAACGAAACAGTAGAAGAAAGAGTCGATTTCTATAAAAGGTTAGGCTTCACTGTGGGTGATGTATGGAAAATGTTCAAGAAGAACCCTTTCTTTCTGAATTTCTCGGAGAAGAAGATAACTCAGACGTATGAAACCCTGAAGAAGTGTGGACTACTCGAAGACGAGATCCTCTCACTACTGAAGAAGTGTCCGCAACGCTTTGGTGCTTCAGAGCAGAAAATAGACAATGCCATCGAAACATTTCTAGGCCTAGGATTCAGTAGAGATGAGTTTGCAATGATGGTCAAGCGCTATCCTGAGTGCATTGGCTTTTCTGCAGAGACAGTGAAGAAGAAGTATGAGTTTCTGGTGAGGAAGATGAACTGGCCACTCAAGGATTTGGTTTCAAGCCCTTCGGTATTTGGATACAGCCTGGAGAAGAGAAGTGTCCCAAGGTGTAACTTAATCAAAGCCCTCATGTCGAAAAGATTGCTTGGAAGTAAACTTCCTCCACTGTCGCATGTGCTTGCAATTACTGATGAAGCCTTCTTAAACAAGTATGTCAAGATACATGATGACAAGGAGCTTGTGGCTGAGCTTATGGCTATCTTCACCAGAGGTCACGTTTCATAGATCAGAACCTCTCATGTCAAAGACTCGTTCTTTAAATCTTAGGCTTTTGTAATCTCAATATGCAATCCAACTTGGGAAAATAACATAAAAATGTGACTTTTACAAGTCCTTTTGGGCAAAGAGGTTTCAGTTTAGAGTTGGGAGTAAGGATTTTTTTGGAGCTAAAGAGGTCTATAGTGCGGTATGGTCCAATATATAAATGCAAAAACTTTGAGCTTGTTTGATCTTCGGTGTGATTGAGACAGGTCCTCTTTGTTACGTTTTTTTGGCTTCGGCTTGTAAGAATTTGATTTTCGGTTGCATTTTCTTTATTATTGCATAGTACTGACCTTGGTGGATTTGGTTTCAGCTTGCTAAAAAAGGGTATTCAATACAAAGCATATGACTTTATCAAAAATACCACTGCAAATGCAGGTTAAGAGAGACTCCTCAACTGTTAAATCACACTTTTTTTTCATCTGATTGTGATCAAAAAGGTTTTTGCTTTCCCAGTAAGATGTTTGGGTTATGCCGAGCCTTAGATCTCCGAGTAGGAAAGTCATGTGACACTTCTGCAACCCTTCCTACACGGTTTTGAATGAAAAAACTGAAATTTGGTTCAGATGCTCTTTTAGTCATTCGAGTCACAGCATGGAACACCAGAAGATGGAAGCAACAGAAAGCAGCTCGCAAGTGAAGACCTCAGGTGAGTTTTCAGTGGGCAATAAACTTAGTAAAGGTCACATTCTAGAGACTGCTCATGTAAAGAACGAGAATATGTGAAAAAGTACTCTTTTCCAGTCAAGATTTGGGGTTTCTTTTGTTAAGCGGCTCTTGAATTTCTCTAATCATAAGTTCGATATTTGTACTCTCTTGGTGTTCTAACTAGCAAACCAGTGACTGGTTTCTTGCCTATCCAAGGATGACTACGAGCTACTCGTGTTTACAGTTCATAACTTGCAATTTCAGGATAATTACATTGGTAAAGTGACGACATTTGCAGGTCTTGAGCATGCTCCTTGAAGAACTCCGTCCTAAATGCTGAAATCGAATATGACTTTGGTGGTGGTCTGTTTGCATTTATCGGTATCAAGAAAGTTGCCGGAAACTCTGTAATTGCTCCACACATCTCTACATGTTTCATGGAACCTATGCAAAACTCATGTATCTAAACATTGATTTTTTTTAAATGAAACAAGAGAATCTGGAAGTTGGATTAAGCATGTTGTAGAGGTTGATAAACATTTGGTTAATGATAAAGTTGATGTTGAGTT